ACCTAATCCATCATAACAGTTGATCATTACCCATAGTGATTTAGCTGAAATAATGACCTTGTTAGACAGTTAGATCGTGTGGCAGGGTTGATCAAGTTGGTTATTTACAGAACAAACATTAGATGAAACAATCACAAACACTACCGATTATCTTAAATTCTGTTTCGAAATATGTTGTCCTAAAGAAACATTATTCATTCGATTTGATCGCTTCTCTTCGCCATACCTCAAAAAGCTACGTAGAGATAAAGAACTGTTGTTCAAAACAAATGATAAGCCTGGTGTAAAAAAAAGTTAAACATTCTGATAAAACTGGAAATGAAAAGACTAAATGTTTTATATAATCAAAGATTTTTGTCATGTAAAACCCCTTCTAATTTATGGAAACTTTTCAAAGAAATTACTAACGGTAAGCGATGTATTTCTGTTCCATCTCTTAATGTTGACACTCTTAATAAATCTTTCATACACTCTTCTGTTGATACCCTTCCAATTGATACAAATCATATTGACAATAACTTTAGTGGTTTTAATACCCTTGATGTGCTTAAATGTCTCCGGTCTCTTAAGCCTTCTCAAAGCCTTGGTCCTGACGGCATACCTGCCATTGTCCTCAGAAATTGTGCTGATATTTTGTGTTACCCTCTTACTAACATTTTTACTGCTTCTTTTTCCGGTAACATTCTACCTTTTGGATGGAAAAACATTAAAATTATCCCTTTACCAAAACCATCTGCTGGTTCTGATATTAAATTTCGGCCTATTGCAATTACTTCCCCCTTTTAAAAATTGATGGAAAAATTACTTTTACTTCGTCTTGAACCCGCTTTGAAACCTTTTAATGATCCTAAACAATTTGCATACAAACATGGTAGAAGTACCTTGGATGCTGCGGTCGTCTTATATCACAATGTTGTCTCTTGTTTAGACAAAGGTGCCAAATATGTTCGTAGTGCTTTCTTAGACTACACATCTGCTTTTGAATCTGTACCTAGGGGCCTTTTGTTAAATAAGATTTAAATAGAGATTTCTAAGTCCTTCAAAATATTAAATAGACAAAGGACAGCAAATTTACTACGATTTGCCGAAGCAACCGCAATCAAAAGACTTAAACCAGACTTATGCATACAGAAAGAGAGTGTGATTAACCTCTCACTCCCTTGGTAACAGAATTTTGATTTTGATTAGTCATCTAATTCAGTGATCTCAACTCACTGAACAAATCTTAATCTCATAAACTGTAACCGTTTTTGTTTTTTTTGTTTCTTGAGTTGCTATGTGAACCTAAAAGCTAACACTGTTCTGTTTAATCAATTTTTCTGTTTTCTCTCTTACCCCTCCCCCTCTTTTCAACTTTAAAAGCGTATAAATTGATGATGAAAACTTAAACTAACAAACATTGTAATGCTTTCATTTAGATGCGTCAATTTTATAGTGTCTCTTTTCTACCACCACTCGAACATTAAAGTATGTTATTATCATCTATATATAACCATTGTAATTTCAGGTAGTCTGCAGCTGATGAGAACCTGTGAAATAGAATGATATCATTTTACACTGCAAATTTCGTCTTTCTTTCTTTATCGAAATAAGCTATCGTTGGCACAAACAGGATCCTGGGCAAAGAGTTGGTTGCATTCCTATTTTTCTGATAGAATGCAGTATACTGTATATAACGGAAAATCTTCTTCTACCTCGCTTACAAAATCCGGTGTTCCACAAGGTGCTGTCCTCTCTCCTTTTCTTTTTTCTTTCTTCCTACATGACCTGCCTCATTCAAACGAAACTAACTTTGTCAAATATGCAAATGATCTGACTGTATCACTGCCTGTCACTTCCGAGTCTGACAGCTCCAAACTTAATAGCTTTCTGTTGAACATCAACAACTGGTCCAAGTCAAATGGTCTTATATTAAATCCTTCCAAATGTCAGGCAGTTGACTTTACTTTCAAGCATCGACGTGACTTACATGAACTAGTTAGCTCGCATAATCCCTGTAGCATAGATGGCATGGAAATTGAAACCAAGTCAAGCATTAAATACCTTGGATTAGTTCTTTCCTCTGACCTTTCATGGTCATCACACATCTTATCTATCTCTAAGAAAATGTTTCGTCTTACCTTCTACATTAAAAAGTTAAGACAATCAGGTTTCAACCAACCTTTAGTTTTGCAATTTTTAAACTCCTGTATTTTACCTATTGTAATCTATTGCTCTCCATTAATCTTTCCTGGGCTTCTCAAAAAAGACTATATCATATTACGAAGAGTATTAAATGCTGTGAGTAGGGCTTGTGGTCTGCCACTGCATGAGCTCGCTAATACTATAGTCGAGAGGCATATAAATTCCTGTACAAAATGGGCAAAGGCTATAATGTCAGACCCTCTGCACCCCCTTTATTCACACCTGTCCCCTTGTATCTCATCAGGTAGGACGAGAAGTAAATATAGAAATTTATATGCACGTACCACTAAGTATAGAAATTCTACGATACCCTATTTAGCCCGTAATTTATGTGACGAAGACTGTGTTAGACGTGAAACATATAAGTTACTATGTAATTAGCACAGTGAATCGACCCTTTCATCGTTCATCTTTCTGTAATTTTATGGTGTCACACTTTCTATAGTTTAAATATTACTCTGCTATTTTATTTTAGTTGGTATTACTATTATTACTACAATTTTATACTTTATGCATATTTTTCTCCGTATGGCATACAGTATGTTGCTATGTAGCTGCTATAACAATCGTTTTATTACTATTATGTAATGTGTATTTTTAATTTTTTTTTTGTCGTTTTTGAGTAAATTAGATGCAATATTGTACTGAATGCTGAAAATTCCTTGCTGTATCATTAGTACTGTTTTTGGAATAAAGCAAATTATTATTATTATTACTAAAGTTACAGGCCTCTGGTCCAAATAATAACCCAAAACTGAAAGCTTTGAGGACAATTTGAAAACAAAATAACACCAATTTATCCCAATATTAATCATGAATTGACATCCTTTAGGGAACTAATCAAAACCAGGCAATATCGAATAGCTGTTTAATCCCACTTTGGCACCTATGGTTCCACTGAGCATGAAACTTGGTAATTGCAGGTTATGTGGAAAGTTTTGCTGATCATTCAAATATTAGGATGATATTCAGCGACCCATGAATTTTCAAAATTCTTCCGATTCTCGATATATAGCTCCAAAGAGGCAGTGGCCAGTCAGCATTTGTCCTCATACTTGATTTTGTGCACGCCATTGGTCATGATTTCTCACCAAAAATTCCAGATAACTACTTTGCATTAGACTAAGTTTCAAATGTTGGCTTACAGGAATTTCATTAACTTCAAGTTAGATGAAGTTAGCAAAACATCAGGTTCATCCACTGGTGGATGGTGGGTGGAATCATAGTGATCTCTGAAAGTGATGTTGCTTTGTAATGAAATCTCCATTGAGAACAATAATAATAATAATTAGGTGTTAGTTTGCAGGGGTTTGAGAAATTCGATCAGGTAATGACATCAGGTACAGAACCATTGGAAAGCCTGAGAGTACTGGGCACAGCTGTTTCGTCCTAGTTCAGGACTCCTCAATGACGCCTACATACCAGGTGTTCAAACCTAAACTAAGAGCCTTCAGGTCTAGGGTTAGAACCCAATGGGGTATGCGCTTTGAAGAGTCCTAAACTAGGACGAAACAACTGTCCATAACTTTCAAGTTTACCAACACTTCTCTACCTGATGTCAATTCCTGATCAAACCAATAATAATCTACAAATTATTGAATTGAATTTTTGATTTTCCCGCCGATTGATTGGACCGAAGTGCTCGGTCTCAGGTTGACATGTCGGCTTCTTGTGCAGATGCTTCGACGATGTCTGGGCATTTAGTTAGTATACAATTGGTGGATGGTGGCTAGCAGTGGAATCCAGGATAAAGCACATTTCGTCCTATTTGGGACTAGTCAGCTGGATGTACCTGCATTTCTCAAATAGGACGAAATGCGCTTTATCCTGGATTCCACTGCTAGCCACCATCCACCAATTGTATACTAACTAAATGCCCAGACATCGTCGAAGCATCTGCACAAGAAGCCGACATGTCAACCTGAGACCGAGCACTTCGGTCCAATCAATCGACGGGAAAATCAAAAATTCAATTCAATAATTAATATGACCCGTCGCACAAGAGGTGGCTCTCGTGGCCCAAGTGGTCTAGTGGATAACGCTTTGGCGTTTGAAACTATGGGTACTGGGTTCGAGCCTCAGTGGGAACATCATCACTCACTGAGAAATGCAGGTACATCCAGCTGACGAGTCCCAAATAGGACGAAATGCGCTTTATCCTGGATTCCACTGCTAGCCACCATCCACCAATTGTATACTAATAATCTACAATATTATGGTTATTCAGTTTATGAAGTACATCAAAGTAAAGATATGCAATTGGCATAGTGGTCGAAAATCTAATTAATTTCTGAACTCAGTGTATGAACTGATTAGTGTTCATACTTGTTAACACATTTATTTCAGTCGTATGTAAGCATGTATAAAGTAATATTTATTATTATTTGTCATTTTGTAAACAAACTATACTCAGTCTAAGTGAGTTATGCTCACTATTTATTATAAATGTCCTTAAATTGTCATGCGACCAATTTGACATGAATCACACTCATAGGTGCATGCGTACATTATTCGTTATAGTGACAGCGACAGAGGGGGGGGAGCAGAGAGAGCGAAACAAAGTAGAGAACATTAACCATTTGCTAATTCTCTTGTCTTAAAAACAACAACGACAACAACTAGTCAACCAACCAGACTGTCAGTTTGTTCAATGTTGTCAATGTTGTTGTTGTTGTTGTTATGTCATCATCACCATGATCAAAGTCAGTGTCGGTTGTTCAGTTTCATTTCACATTTTGACCTTCTCTCATAAATAAAGGATTACACATGATGATGTCTAGTGTATAACAAGTAAACCAACCAACTTTTACTCAATCATGGATAACACAACGACTAACACTCAATCGATTTCTATCAGTCCTTATCAAACTTCATCTCATTCTATTCATCCATCCTGTTATGAAAAATTATCTAAACGATATCCATCAATCCACCGGTTGAAGAACACGTCTATTATCCGTCGTACAAGTAGTACTAACAGTCGAAGTAGAAGTAAAAGCTGGCAAAGTCCTAAACTTGACTTGACCAACTCACTGTCACATAATCGTCTACTTATCAATGCTCCAAGACCTTCATTACGAATCAATAAAGAGAATATACTATTTGTTAAAAATCATAATTACTATTATAATTTCAGTAAACTACAATCGAATTCACAGAATGATCCTTCATCGAATGAATCTCAAATACATCATCATTCACCATCAATACACCAGACACATCAACAAGAAGAACAACAGCAACCGCAACATCAACAAAACCATAACTTGTCAAAACAATCATTATTATTATCATCATCCTCTAATGAGGCGAATTTCGCAACCTCAACCCCATATATCAAACCATCATTATTTAAACATAATCAGCATGATAAGAAGATTTTAAAGTCAGCGTTTATTGGTGCACCAAGACTTGCGTTAACTGTTTCATTTAATGATAATAATAACAATAATAATAATAATAACAGTATTGAACATACGCCTAGTTTAAGTTATTCGTCGGTTAACACTTCTTTGCGGAATAAAAGTTTTTCGACTAAAAGTGGTTATGGAGACGATGATTTCCTTCAAGAGGTCAGTGAGGAGAAGAAGACGACAAAGAAGAAGAAATATGGCGACGATGATGGTGATAATTTAACCAATGGATCTAGTACTGTGCAAACCACAGAAAATGATCAACCTATTCAACCAAGTAAACTAGCTTACACCTTTACACAACCGTCAAAACAAAACTCAAGCTGTAATCAAACAAATAATAATCATAGTTTAATTATATTTCGATGTCGTATATGTCTTGAAGAAGAAGGTGATGACCCGGATGGATTAATGTCCCCATGTCGTTGTAAAGGTACTGTTGGTCTGGTGCATAGAAATTGCCTGGAGAAATGGTTGCTAACTTCAGGTAAACCAAGTTGTGAATTATGCGGATATGCGTATATTATGACACCATCGAAAAGACGTTCATCACAATTTTCAACATTGAATCATCATCATCATCATCCTTTCAGACGTTTCAATGCAGAATTTAGAAATCTACGCAATTGGTTAGATTGGCAACAGACCCGGAAACATTTAATCGCTGATGGTATCTCCATGCTGATACTTTTACCAGCAAGTTATATAGGCATTTATTTCTGTATTGTTGGTGCAGTTGACCAGAAGGGAAGTAATCCATATGGATTGCGAGTATTTGGTCTATGCGGACTTGCAGTTCTCATCGTCTTGTTAATGACGATATGGAGTTGTTTGGCTATTAGACATCATGTCGGTAATTATCGTAATTATCAATTGTATCAACAAGAGTTGGCGTTAGCTGAAGCCAGTCGATTATCTGCCCTGCCAAGATATCGTTTCTCGGTACAACCAAGACCAAGAGGATCGTCAGTTGTTATATACACATTGAATAGAGATCAACAACAACAACAACAACAATCCTCGCCTATGTCAATACATGAAGGACAAATGTCAAATGAATCGAGTATTGGACATTTGGATCTAAGTCAATCTTATACTAATAACACGGCTGTTTCTGCTGTGGCTAACAGTACTAGCAGTAATGAACACTCTGGAAATCAAACATTTCTTGTCTCAGTTGCATTGACCACTGTACCGGAGGTAGCTGAAGACTGTACAAGTTCACAGAGTAAGACAGTATTTACGAGTATTGTTTAATGCTGTTGGTGGTAATCAAGGTAACTGCTTTCCTTCTTTCAAAGTGTGTTTGTGTGTATATGTGTGCCTGTATATTTCATATAAGCTTGGATTAAAAAAAAACACTTTTGCTTAACAAACTCATGCAAACTATTTGAACATGATATTGCATTTTGCTTCTTATGAATAAATGTCTACCGTTAAGGCGAAGATTCTTTTCATTTTTTCACACTAAGTGTCAGTCAGTTAGGGAAAGACTTTTAAGTTACTTTGAATAATTAATTGAGGATAATAATAAATAATACTTATTTCGAAATTCCAAGCGTATACGTCTACTCATTAAAACAAAGTATCTTTGATTAAGCTGTTTACCACTGGGTCTGTCTGTCTGGATTCAACATAGAACTTGGCACCGAAGTGCACCAGTTCGAGTTGCCACCTTCCAAATAGCACACAGAGGTAGACAAGAAGATGAGTGAAGAGAATTAATAGAGTTTGACAAGTATAAGAGCGAAACAAAATGGGTAATGGTAGAAAGGAATATGAAAGATTACAGAGACTGAATACATCTGCGCTGACCATTGACAACAATTTTGAGCCATGTCACCTATTGTCTCCAGCCATTGATTCCTAGAGTCCCGAGGCCCCCAACCCGAGAGTCTGCATCTCCCTACCTGACCGACTCAGTTTAACTGTCAAGGATTTCATGGATTGATGAGGCCATGTTTTTGTTTGGCCACCACTGGCTCTTTTCCAACCTGAACCTATGTCAGCTAGCAATGCCCGTCGGGGGAGGCGGTGGTTAGGCATGCGCAGCACGTGACCTAGCCACCTTAGTCTATGTAACTTTATAGCCTCGTCGATTGATTTTCCCTCTTTGCCCAACACTCTACGCCTAACATCAACATTACTTATCTTGTGAAACCACCTAACGTGAGACAGAGATCGCAGACCACTGGGACCGTTGCTTATCTTTATTATTGTAATTTGCCTTCTTTAAAAAGACGGTTACAGTGAAGAAAATTCCCCTTTCTCCACGAAGTCATCAACTAGACTGTGCATATTTGTTTTTTATTCCTTCACGTTCCCAGTGAAACATAGGGCGCCTTCAAGCTAGAGGCTTGAAGTTTTTTCGGTAGCAGTGGTGTTTATTAAATTTTACGGGATGGGGTTCCTAGTCAGTCTCATGTCCAATCTTCCCTTTTTACTAATCGTATTACTGGCTTAGCGAGGTAAAGGAGTGCCTCGTCAGCGGGGGATCGAACTCCGTATCACATGCGTGGTTGTTCAACATCCTACCGCTGTGCCACCGACGCACAGACTGTACATTCATGTATTTATAGGAAATGGGTGAGAAAGTTCCAAAACTATTTCCAGTCAAGGGTTAAATTAATAAAATTACAGAATTTAATAAACAGCAAGAACGAATAAAAAACGTAGTAAAATCATAATTACTCAGAAACTCGACTTTTTTGTGCACTTGGGGATTGAAAGTGTTGTAACCACAAAATAGGCAGGAGGTTCGAATAAAAAAAAACTTGGTAGGATCACTATTGATATAAGTATAAAGCTTCGGCACTGTGGTAGTATATAACTCCATTATAGATAAGATTTTATTTTGATAAATCACACAATGTTGTAATTCGGTAGATATTAACTGATGACCACGTTTCGAGTACAAATTATTGCCACTCATAATCGTTTCAAGGCACTACTCACACAAATTTCTAGCTTAATTTATATACATGTGTGGAATTGACTGGATATTTAAATAAAAATCAATACGAGATAATGTACATTCAGAAATAATAATAATATGAGTGTTATTGATCAAATACAATCAGATGGGAAATAAGACGAGTGTTTTCATAGTCATAATAAATAACTTGTTAGAATGTTGTGATGTGCTTGAATTGAATTAGAATTTTTAAGATTATTTATTATCCTCATCTGATTTAACTGACTGACTGGTGGTGATAATGTCTTCCATATCTCTGGTGTTTGCATTGAGTCATTTCTGTTGCATGTGTTGGGTATTGACACAATGAACCATGATTCAGTAATCAATATCTCTCTCCACCTACTTAGATTACTTCTTAGAATCTTAACCCTCTCCCACCCATCCTATTGTGTGATTGTGTGTCAATGCATGCAGTGCAAACTGCTGAGCCTTTTTCTAAATTACTTATCTTCTCGGGTGGGGTCAACCATTCTTACCTTAGCTAATTTTTTCCGTTCCGACAATCTGACTACCCCGATCTACTAGTTTGACTGACCTATGTAGTTGACTTAACTCACAGTCATTGCAGGGTATTTTGTGAATTATATTATTTTGTTTAATTGTGTGAGTAGTGACTTGATTTGATTATGAGCAGCAATAGTTTGTGCTCGAAACGTGGTCATCAGTTAATCTCTACCGTATTACAACATTGTGTGATTTATTAGTAGGATCACGATTATTAAGAAAATTGACACCATCGAGCATAGTTGGGCTAAAGGAGAACGGAAGAGTGTGTATATCTGAGTAACGGAACATCTGGTGAATTCGTGAAAAGTCTTTCAAAGTTATATACATGATCAGGTCAAACCTCTCCTCCAAGGGAGTGACATATAGGTATCTGAGTATAGCCCGAGGCACTAAAGATTCCAAAGTTCAAGCCTACGCTTTGTATTCAAAAGAAATATGTCCAACGGTTGTCTTTATCATGGCCATCATAAAAAGTAAGTTACATCAATAATCAATATTTTCTATAGTTGATTTGTAAGGTTTAGTTTTGTTTATACGTGTTGATCACGCATTGACGAAGTACTGGACAGCTGTTTCACCCTAGTTTGAGAATCATCGGCAGTACACACCCACACTACGGGTTTCAAACCCAGGACCTTCCATTTACAGGGAAAGCTAGTTGACGACCATTCAGCCACTGGGACCCGATTCTATCGCTCATGATACTGATCTGTGATCAACTCGTAAAGACAGAACTAATCGTTACAAATCAACTCTTGAAAATTTATCTGATACCCGCTAGTGACCAACAGCTACCGGATAAGGTTTCCTGGAGTTATAGAAGTTATTAAGAAGACAGCTGCAGCAAAGAAAATTTTCTTTTCGACGAAGTCACCGTCAACTAGGCTGTACATTCGTGTATTTATATCAAATGGATGGGAAAGTTCCAGAATAATTTCCGATTAAGGGTCAAATTAATAAAAATTACAATTAGAATGCCATAATAAACAGGGGGATGGATAAAACAAACAAAGTAGCATCATAATAACTAAGAAGATTGACATTGTGCAGTTAGGGGTTAGAAATGTAGAAATAACAAAATAGACAGGATGTTTGGATAAAAAATCTAGTGGGATCATAACTAATGTGACGAATAATTGTTCATGCAGTCAGGGATTCAATATGTAGAAATAGTAACAGTAGTAATATTATGATGCTACTTTGTTTGTTTTATCCATCCCCCTGTTTATTATGGCATTCTAATTCCTAATTGTAATTCGTATTAATTTGACCCTTAACCGGAAATTATTCTGGAACTTTCCCATCCATTTGATATAAATACACGAATGTACAGCCTAGTTGATGGTGACTTCGTCGAAAAGAAAATTTTCTTTGCTGCAGCTGTCTTCTTAATATTTCCTGGAGTTCTTGTGAGAAGTCGTGACCAGTGAGAATGGATGTCTCACCAATGACATTGATTGGTACGAGTCACGCTAAATTACGAACTGGTAAGAGTTAGAATTCATGCGGTGGCCATTGAATCGGATCCTAGCGACTGAATTGTTGTTAACGAACTTATCTTGTAACCAGAAAGTCTTAGGTTAAAACCCTGTCGTGTGGATGTGCACCGATGATGATTCCCAATCTAGGACGAAACAGCTGCCCAGTACTTCTCGATTTTCAATTTTCCTTTTAACTGATATCATTCCGTGATCAACTCGCAAAAATAATCAATATACAAAAAGAAGCATAGTTACTTCAGTTTGCAGAAGCCACTGCCATCAAAAGACTTTGACCTAACACTTATGCATACAGAGTGTGACTAATCTCTCACTACCCTACCTAGTAACCGTAATTGTTTTGTTCATGTGCTTTTGTGTTTGTTTGTTTTTTCTGTTACGTAACATTTCACTCAATCTTGATTTTCACTAACTGAGTTGAACTCAGTTGAACTCTAATAAATTAACTTTCTTTAGTTTGGTTTGTAAGAATTAGTTATATTTTACGGGTTGATCACGGATTGATATCAGTTAGAAAAACCATTGAAAACCAGGGAGTACCGGACAGCTGCTGTTTCATCCTAGTTTGGGAATCATCGGCAGTACGCACCCACTGGGATTCGAGCCCGAGACCTCCCGGTTACAAGGCAAGCTGGCTCGTATACCATTCAGCCACTGGGACCCGATTCAATGGCTCGTGAATTCTAACTTCTACTAATTCGTGATTTAGCGCGACCCCAACCATTGTCGTTGGTGGGACATCCATCCACACACGTGACATCTAATTGGACCTCACTGGTCACAACTTCTCACTACAACTCAGGAAACTCCAACCTGTAGCAAGTCACTAGAATGGATACTGAACAAAGAGTACTCTTTTCGATAACCCTTGCATCATCAGGCTCTACATTTATACTTACATCATAGTGAATGAATGAGTTAGTGTTATAAACGACATTAATCTTGTTTAAATAACATCAAATCAATAATATTGACAGATTACAGCTGAAAAGCATCAAGAAACATATGACAAAGAAAGAGGAAAAGGAGCACTCACTATCTGTAATAAAAAGAAGCCTCTTTATATACGACTACAATTCATGGGTGATATACCAACCGAGATAGTTGCAAAGAAATTAAGAAGATCAGTTCAAAGAACTTTTACTGCTGGCGAACTACACGTCTTATTCTCTACACAACCGATGGTGATTCCTCGACTGAAAGATGAAGTACCTAGACTAGCCACTTCTAATTGTACTTACCAATTCAACTGCGCTTGTGGAGCCATTTATATT